AGCTGCTGTGTGCTGCATATTTAGTGTCATCTGTGATTACTCACCACAGAAAACTGCTCCCCCTCCAGGACAGGCTGGTATTGCACCTCGAACTTGAGTTTGTAGAAATGGTTTTTCCAGGTGCTGGGGTAGGCCCAGCGCACTCTGAGCCGGCACGAGCTTCCCTCCTCTTCCCACACGGACACGTTCCTGGGGGGATCTGGCTTAACTGGAGAACAGAACAGGGGGCAACAGCGACGAAAAGGACATTAGGACAGATGGCAGCATTTTCCCCCCAAAAGTGTAGGAGGCTTACCAATGGGGACCTCACAAGGGGATGGGAGACATCAAAAAGGAGAAACGACATAGAGAGAGATCAGAGAGAGACAAACAGCTATCAGAGAGAGACAGACATCAGAAAGAGACAGACAGATATCAGAGAGAGATGGACATCAGAGAGAGAGACAGACAGATATCAGATAAGAGGCAGACATCAGAGAGGGAGATAACAGAGAGACAGAGATATCGGAGAGAGACAGGCAGCAGAGAGAGAGACAAAGATATCGGAGCGACCGAGACAGACATACAGTATCAGATAAGAGACAAACAGCAGAGAGACAGTGATATCGGAGAGAGAGACAGACAGATCTCAGAGAAGAGACCGACAGCAGAGAGCGAGACTGATCGGGAAACAGACCAGGAAACAGAGAAGGACTGAGAGGGGGTGAGGTGGGCACGTGCGGTCAGCGGTCAGCGGTCAGCGGTCGGCGGTCCAGACTCACTGATCTCCACGCTGCTGAACCTCAGGAGTGGGCTGGTCTGGGCGCCGGCGGGGTTAAAGGCACACAGGGAGGCCAGGTAGTAGAGACTGCCCTCCTCCTCCACGTCCAGCACACACCAGCAGCGGCGACTGCTGGACGACGAGCAGGCCTGGAACATGTACTCCCCCACGGGCCTGGAGCGGGGCACAGAGACAGGAGGGTACTGGGGTACAGGGGTATAGGGGTGCGGGGACTCAAAAATAGAAGAGTACTGGGGTACAGGGGCACAGAAACAAAAAGGTATTGAAGCATGGGGGTACAGAGACAGAAGTACAAAAGGGTACTGGGGTACAGGGGCACAAGGGTTCAGAGACAAAACAGTACTGGGGTACACAGACAGAACAGTACTGGGGTACAGGGGTACAGGGTACAGGGTACAGGAAGACGGCGACAGAACGGTAGTAGGGTACAGGGGTACAGTGACAGAAGGACACAGGGGTACAGGGACAGAAGGACACAGGGGTTCAGGGACAGAGCTACATACCCCTTCTTGTAGATGAGTCTGCAATGGGCAATAGGGATTGAGGGCCGTGTGGCCGTCCAGCTGCAGCGGATCTTACTCAGGGGCGTCTTCCTGCTGCACGACAGCGTGGGGCGCTCTGGGGCAACTGCGACAGACAGAGGCAGGAGCAGCGCGTCACTGTGTGCCAGCG